TCCTAGTGGTTTACTCTTTGCATTTTGAGTTTCCTTGTAAATATCAACCCTGATCACTCTGGTAAAAACACTTTGAATGTTGAGTGGCAATAAGTGCTTGCTAGTTTTAAACATGATCTGTGATAGCGAACCAGGTCCTGAAGTTTAAGTAAATGTAAAAACTGAGAATTTGTTTGATCCAGATACTTAACTCTGTGAATGACTCGTATCACCCTTTTTACTGATTGTGGGTAAAGTTGGAGAAGCTACAATTGCCTTTATCTCTAAGGCTGAGCTCAACCATTCAGCACAAGCTCACTTTAACTATTTCTATTCAGGATCTTGATATTTTGGTCACGATCCAAATCTGATGACTTTAAGTGAAGTTCAAAGATTGAGCGCTTTGCCTTCTTCTTTTTCACCACTACAGAGTAACGCAACACCTTCATTATGTAGACAAAGCCCCATTCAGCCCATCCATCTCTTACTCCATCATCCTCCCATCACTGAGCTAATTCAACTTCTCCACTTGAGACAGAAGCTCAAGCCCAGCCCAAAGGGAGCGCTCCAGCTTTACGTGTTTGACAACAATTTACAGGATTCCAGTTAATTTAGGAGGAATATCAAAATTAATGTTACAAAATTCATGAATTTCTACAAACCTGTGTATATACATTTTGAAAAAGCAAACAAAACATAATTTTAGCCTGAAAAACTTCAGTCCCAACTAGATTTAGGAAAGGACGTCTATTTAGTCACAGTAGCATCACTGAAACCTAATACAAGGACAAACAAGTGAAAAGAGTCTGTTTAGAGATGAATAAGGGTGTAGTACACTCAAAATTCTCATATGTTGGTGTTAAGAAAGGGAGATTTTGTTTGCACATGTCACAGTTCTGGATTGAGTCCTTCTTCCTGTCTCCTACAAGATAAAAAACATTTAAACCACGAGCTGTCGTCACATCTGTGAAAAGCCTTTGTGGTTGTAGCAGTAACAGGAGTCAAGTACCTGTAGTTTTATTTTCTGTAGGCAGCATTTACATCACACTCAAAGGTGTATAAGTGAAAAAAGTTGGATAATTTTTTTTTGTGTGTTGTTAGTAGTGGAGGGGGATTTTACATGAGTCACACACAACTATATAAAACATGTCCGACCAAGGAGGGGGAGAGACGGCAGAAGAGAAGAGCACCTGAAAGAGGAAGTTTACTGTCGATGCGGAGACAGGTTAGTAGCTCTACATGACATTATTACAAACGTGCTGGAACATGCAGACATGCTTCCTGACTTCAGCTCAGTTTGCATCTCGATTTTGAGATTAGAGTCGATACGAGAACACTGGTTGTATCCCACTGCTACTTACAAAGTTCTAGAGAGAGTTAGTTACAGCTACTTCAGAGCTGAGGCATGTGTCTGGATTCCTAATCTTCTGTACATTCTATTTAGACGGATACAAACAGCTGAAAGGAACTGAAAAGTGTTTTAACTCAGATCAAATAGATTGCACAGACTATTGTGTTGATGCAGGCACAAAAGCAGCTTCCTGAACCTGCTGTATGAAGGAAATTTTTAAGCAGAAAGAGGAATTAGTCACTGTTGGGTATTTATTTCTATTTGATTAAAAATTATGTAAGTAAAAGTAGTAATTTATTGAGAAATGGTTGAATCTTTAGGTCATTCTCTCTCCTTTATTAGACATAGGTGGATTAAAACGGTTGTCATTATTAATATTATTATCAAAACATATTTTATTCTGCCTGAGTTGAAATTTAAATCCCCTTAAAGTCTTGGTTACCGGTAATTTGTGGCTTCTGAAGTGAATGAGAAGATGCTGTTGAAACTCTCCAAGTGGAGCTCTGACTCAACCAGTAATGAGTGTGTTTGTCGCCCCCTGCAGGAAGTCTTCAGCAACTCCAGGGATGAAGTGGCAGCTGCCTTCCAGTCCAGTCCCAGTTCCAGGTTGAGGTTAATGCTAATCGTGATAGGGGTTGTTCTATAACCAACACCTAACATGTTAGCATTAGCTTTACTTTGGGAGATCTCACAGTGAGATGGACGTGGAGGTGACCAAGAATGTTGTAGAATCAGATTTCTACTCCATGTTTAATATTTTACCAGTTTATTCTTGTTTTTACATCATTTAAAGATGTGCAGACAGTAACCATGCTTTTTGTTGATTTATTCTTTTTTTTTTAGTTTCAGAAGGTTCCGGAGTGTTCCTGATGAGGAAAAACATTTTACTTGTGACATTTTTTGACAGATCTCTAAAACTGCATAATTTAAGTCAAAAATAACAAATTAAATGAGGAAACAGTTAGACTTTTTTGTGTTGATCACCTCATTCTTGATGACCAAAGTGTTTCCCGCAGATATCACTGCCTTTTTTGTCCCAGGATTGAACCACAAGGAAGGTTCATGCTTCATCTGGGCTCTACTTCCCAGATAAGACATTGTCAGAAGATTTGGTTAAATAATCTCTGTCCCAACTTTTGCATCATCAATGTTTTGGTGCAACTTTGTCCAAATATTCTCTGAAACATGACTCAACAACTGTTTCAAACTATGTTACACATTTTCTTTGTGGAAATACTTGTTGATCCTTGCCCTGCATAGTCATCATCATCATCATCATCAATTTCATCATCATCATCGCCATTCCTCAAAAAAACTCTTTAACTCGAAGGCGTAACTAAAACTCCACTCCACTGAGTTGATGTTTGGATTTTTCTAACAGTCATGCATTAAGATTAAAAACAGAGCGACACTTGAGGGTGTTTTTGATTTCCCATCAGTCAGTAAACGCCACATGGTGTGTGCCATCTTTTTAAAAATAATTTTATTATGCTTGATTATGATTTAAATGCTTCAGCAGATAGAAAGTAGAAATAAAAGGGAAGGAAACGGTTTGTTGTTGGATTGATTGAAAGAATATTTTGCTGTAAATTTGAGTTATGTTTAAACTAATGAAACAATAAAGTCCATCCCAGAGATCTGAAGCTTTTGTGTTTGATTTTGTAAGGATGGAAACCTTCAGCCTTGATAGCATTTGCATGAGAAGACATCTCATCTTTGTCCTCCGTGTGATGCATGTTGAGATCTGAATTATAGATCTGTGAGTCTTTGCCATCGTTTTTGAACACATGCAGGCCATTCCCGCCCTGATCAAAGTGCAGACATTTCTGTGCTGTTTGGCCATCGTTTGTGCTGCTTTAGTCTTGTGACAGAGCTCCTGTGTAATCTTTTAAACCACTGTGTCATTAGTCCAGACTCCCTGAAAATGAGAGGATTACAGACTTGACTGCTTACACGGAGAATAGACGGGGCTTAGAAGGAAAATCCACCCATCCCCAACTGATGCGAACAACAAAGACATTTCAGGCATTGATCATTTTGTAATGAAAATCACGGCAAAATCTGGTTTTCTCCACTGCTTTAGAGGAATGTGAGTTGTCATCAAAGAGTTAATTCTGTAGGGCCTGGATGTTCATTTGTAGCAACAACTCGGTAGAATTTCTGTAAGAATCGACTAAAGAACAGATTCAGACTGACTGGAGTAAAAACGTTGCCATGCACAAGCAGCTCTGACTACCCACTCTGCTACATCTAAGGAAGAAGTCTTTCATTTTTCTTTTTCAGATTACATTTTGTCAGTGGTTCTAATTCAAACAATATTAAACAATGTTTCCATCACCGATCACACTTTTTTTGAAATATTTTAAAAAGAAAAAAAAAACCAACATTTAGAATCAAGATTTACCCATCACTAAGTTGAAGAAGTCAGACTGAAACTCAGAGTAAACATTCAAACAAACAAACAATAAATAAATAAACAAACAAACTGGGAAAGAAGACTTTCAAAATAATTCTAAATTTTGAGGCTTGGAATATGTTGGCATCTAAAGTGGATTTTCTATCCATTATCACACATCTTTCTTTGTAAAAGCTACAAATATATGCTAACCTTTTTAGATAGGTTCCTGACTGGCCTCAGTTTGAGAAATAGCTTAAATCCAGCAGGACTGGCGAGCTAAGATGTCATAAAACTGCTTTAATCTTGAAATTGTCATTGTGATTCTTGCAAATTTCTGTTATAATGTATTTACCACTGTCCATTTTGCATTATAGAATAGAATAGAATAGAATGTTATTAATCCCACGGCGGTGAAATTCACTTGCAGGACATACACGTAGAGAAAAAGAAATAGAAAAATAATAAGATTACAGGTAAACAGACAACAGCAGTAAGCTATTGTTGTAACCTTCAACCACTAAAAACAACAAATAAAAGGAAAATTGGATTTCCAGAACCCATACTGAATATTGTGTTGCACTTATGTTATTGTATAACAGGATAATGCCAGTAACAGTTAAACTATACGTTTTAGTTGCATCTGGCTGTTTTATAATGCAATTAAAACACTTTGGTTTTGCTCTCCTAGCCTTTAGGTCTATCCTGCCAGTAAACTCTAGCCTATCAAACTGAGATTTTTCAGAATCACATTTACATAGAAGTACCATTTTTAATATATTTATTTTTATTTGCTACCTTTGCTACAACATTCTATTCTCTTATTTAAACCATCTTGTTTGTCAGCTTAATAATGCTTTCCTTGAAAATGACATTCATGCATTTATGTTCTAAATGTCACTTGATTACAAAAACACAGAGCTGATCATTTGTGGTTATTTTGTTTTTGATGAAGCAGATTTTGGTTAATAAATATGATTTGTGTGTTATAAAAATAGCGTTGTGAAATAAATATTAAAAGCAGCTCGGATCCAATCCAAAAGGAGGGAAATGCTATTTCAGTGGCGGGATTGACAATTATAATTTTAATTTATACAGAAACAACAAAAACAATAACCACATAAATAATGAAATAAAAAACGATAGTAACTGAATTTTTGGTGATAAAAATGTTGACAACAAGCGGGAGTGAAACCTGAATGAAGTGAGCATGTTCTCTCCCACTCACGAGGTTGTTTAGTGGGCGGGTCGGTCAGTCAGCTGATGACTACAACACCTCAACCTCCGTCCTCGCTGCGCGCATTCCGCCACATGAACCATTTTCTAGCCAATTACGCGCAATGTGGAAGGCTTCACTCGACTACAAGAGGCAGACTTGTGACTTGGTGGGATTCTTCTCAGGTACGTGTCCTCCGCGCTCACCTGGATCCACCGGAAACATGCAGAGGAAACAGAATTTGGGCTTTTCTCGCGTCCTTTCATGATACCGAGCCTGCCGTTGGTTTCCCGTGATGGGGAGAAGCGCGCGGAGCTGCGGTGCCGTGATCCTCCTGGCCGTCGTTTGCTCCTGTCGTGCAGCCACGCTGGAGTCGGTCCACTGGAGCAGCTCCAATGCAAAGTAAGGAGATCAAACAAATCTCTGATCTGAGGAGAAGAATGATCTTCCAGTGCCTTCACCTAACTGATACAGTTCAAAAGATGCTATCATGTAATCTGCAAATCAATATGTAAATTATTCTGCAGCCTCAGGTGGATTTTCTGCAAGGATTTGTTTCCTGCATGTTGGACATGTCTCAAACCAAGTTCCTGAACTGGTTTTTGTTTTTGAAAGTCCCTCACGAGTCTTTTCATTTGGCAAACTTTTCTGCTGCTCCGTTGTCCACCCCTTCTGAACTTCAACATGTGTCTGACTCATAATTACTGATTCATACTTGGTCGACTTTAAATGAGTTGAAAGAGGGTCTTCTGCTGTTGATGTTAAAAGTTAAAAACACTCCTGTATGATGTATTAATTCAAGGGAAATGGTTTTATAATGATGCCCTGCTTTTGCACATGTTAAAAGCTGTTTTAACTTCCTGTCTCTCACACAGATTTGCTCCTGGCCAGGGGCAGGTCCTCTACCCTCAGATAGGGGACAAGATGGACATTGTGTGTCCCAAGACTGATGCCTCATCCAGCAGGACAGAGGAGTTCTACAAAGTCTACCTGGTGTCCAAAAGTAAGATGGAGAGCTGCGGCGTGGACAAGATGGACACGCCCCTGCTGAACTGTGATAAACCTGACCAGGATGTAAAGTTCACCTTCAAGTTTCAGGAGTTCAGCCCCAACCTGTGGGGCCTAGAGTTCCTCAAAGGGAGGGACTATTACATCACGTGTGAGTTAGTGAAACCACTGGCTGCACATATGCATGTGTTGTTGCATATAAATGTGTCTCAACTAAAAAAACACACACACACACAGCTGGTTCCTACAGGTGGATTTTGAATCAGTGCAAGTGTTTCCTTTTATCAACTGCCTTTTTTCTGGGTAAAATGAGGCCCTTATCCTCAGCTCCTTCTCACTTTGTCAGTTTGAGTGAGAATCAAACAAAAAGAAGAAGAAGAAAAACTTGGCCTCGTTATATTGGACCGCTGTCGGTTAAACCAGCATCTTAGTGGCAAGTGATGCATGAGATAGAGAGCAAGTCCGTCCGCGGCGGAGCCTCGCCCACCTCGCCACGCTCTGACAGCACACTTTGCTCTGGCAGGCCAGTGTGATTCCAAGAGCTTACATGCCCCAAATCACACAAGGCTTTTACAGCATCAGGCAGATTTGATGGGAGCTTTCATTCCAACGTGGCTTGTAGCCTGTGAAATGTTATCTGACCTAAATGCTGCTAACAAGTCTGCGTGTGTGTGAGTGACAGGGGTGAATCAGAGTTCCTGGTGCGTTGATCCCACTCCTTTCCTCTTTTTTTCCTTCTTCTTCTTTCAATGAACATCCAGTTTCTGCTACGAGAGTGGGTTTTTAAAAATGAATGTAGTATGTTTTATTCATTTCATATGTTACATATTCCGAGGCTGTGTGAAGAGCTGGAAATCGTTAATTCAGCTGGATTAGTTTGCAGTTTATTAGCTGCACCTATGGGGGCATGAGTTTGTGCAACGTATGGTGAAGTTTTGTCATCTAATAAATGTGTTTTCATTTTTTTTTGTCTGATCCATCTCATGATCAGCCACTTCTACCGGCTCTCTGAAGGGGCTGGATAACACCAGTGGAGGGGTTTGCAGGACCAAATCCATGAAGCTGGTGCTGAGAGTCGGCCAAAGTAAGCAGTGTGTTTGTTTTTGGAAAAGCTGCAGGATGAACACACACACACACACACACACACACACACACACACACACACACACACACACACACACACACACACACACACACACACACACACACACACACACACACACACACACACACACACACACACACACACACACACACAACCAAAGGAACAATGTTTCATTCAGAATTGGAATGCAATAATATCATCTCTCTTTGAATTAAGTTGTCCTTTAATCTGATTATGTCCTTCTATTCTGGAGAGTCATGAATGACTATTTTAAATCCTTTATTCAAACCAGCAGCTTATCACCTTCAGTATTATCGTGCATGAGATCATTTGAATTTACAGTCGATAAACCCCCATATTAACTCCAGAATAGTTAACATTTCAGTTTAATATTTTGTCAACATAAAAGCTTAATAAAATACTCCTATAACTTACTTTCATCAAAGATTATAAAGAAATATTCACCCAGAAACATTCATGTATTCATTTATATGCTGCAACAAGAACTTTAATGTTCTCACTAAATCCATATAATCAGATATTAAACACATGCAGCCTTTCTGTATGTTTTCACATCACACGCTCAGTTTTTTTTACCAAAGAAATGTGAAGTGTTATTTGAATAAATAATTCATTTATCCTGCATCTGAGATGAAAAATAAGCATTTCGTGCTTTCTCCGGCTGATCGTAGCTGAAGATGGAGCAGCTTATTTCTTGCCGTGTTTACGAGTATTAGTGGTGTAAACAAACCTCTTAAAGCCAGAGAAAATCTTAATAACTCCGCTGAGTTATTAAGTTAAGTTATTAAGTTTGGACCAGTTTGGAAGTTGCTGACAGTTGTAACAGATTTGGATTAACAGATTGTCCTTGTAAAACTGAGATGTGCTCTGAGGAGACGCATGTTAGGGTCGGTGGTGATGAGTTAATGACCACGCACTGAAGCGACGCTGAAAAAGTCAGTAAAGTCGGCTAATTTTGGAACATGTTGAGATGTTTACTAAAGTGTACTGTCTTTACCAGACTAAAGAAAAAACATTTCAGCTTGTTTAGTGTTTACTTTGTAATGTCCAGTAATGGTCAGTTTTTAAGTACAGTTTGACCCTTCTGGTCGACATGGAGACAAGAGTCTGCATGTGTTGCTTTTAATCTGCCTGCCTTCATCCCATCAGCTGGGGTTCAGAGCCTCTCTGCAGCTCTGAACACATGATAACGTATTGTCAACAATGATGTTCCCTCCTCAAGGCCTCAAGCTTCCCTTATCGTCCTACAGGATTCTTCATGCCTCTGAATAAAGTGAACCATCACAACTCAGATTAGTTGCTAAATCAAATAATGAATTCTTAAATATAATGTGAACATTTAAAACTTATAAGTTAAATTTATTGTCACTTATAATAATTATAATATAAATGAAATGCTTTCATTAATCTGTGCTTGAATGACTGAAGTTTGAAATGAATGTTATGATTACATTGATTTTTTAGATGGATCAGTAATGTGATAGGACAAGGCCATCACCATCTACACTCACACAAGGACAAAGTAAAGTTAAGTCAAACACATGGCACATAGATATTTCTTTACCCCAGATCTGTCACACCCTGTCTAGTCTCCCCGTTCTGTTTAGTCATGTGTCCATGTTAATTGCTCCCACCTGCCTCTCGTTTCCCAATCACCCAAGCTCCCAGCCCTCTACTATTTAAACCCCTTCAGTTTTGTGTCTCGTGTTGGATTAGTGTTTCTATGTCTAGCGTGTTCTATATTAAAGCCTATGTAAACCGTTCCTGTCTGTCTGCCTACCTGCCTTCTTCACCCGCGTTTGGATCCTTTCCTCCGCTCACCTCGCCCACATTCCGTGACAGAATGATCCAACCCTGTAAAGGATCCAGCGGGGAGATTCTCCCCTGGGAGTGCCTGCGCCAGTTCCTCTCCTTGGACAACCGGCCGGCTTCTCCTCCTCCGGCTTCGCCTCGCCGCAGACGCCGTCACCGACCTTCAGCCTCGGTGATCCTCTCCACCCTCCCGGAGCCAGATGAGAGGTTGGACCGGGAGACGCTTCCAGATTGCACCAGCTATGTGGGCACCAGACTGGCTGTGTGCTTGCCCGGAGCTGGCCCACGGCGTGGGGAAGGATGCTGGGCTCCACCGCAATCCTGTGTCCCAGGACAGAGCCGCGAGCTCGCCGCTGCCCTGGCTCGGCGCACCTGCTTGGACCCGCCCCCAGTCAGACCAGCAGTCTTGTCTCCAGTCCAATCCGCGCCTCCGTCATCTGCAGGCAGAGGAACAATGCCCACAGCCCAGCTGACAGAGCTCGCAGGTCTCCAGGCGGAGCTTGGCCGGATCTGTCAGCTCATCAGCCTCCAGGAGTCCCACCTGGACACCCTATCCTCCCCGATTCAACCAGGAGAGGGTTTCAGTCCAGCCAGCAGCTCCCTCATCTCAGAGCCAGAGGAGCGAGCCTGCAATCCACCCAGCAGAGCTTGCCGGTCTCCGAGCTGAGCTGGCCCAACTCCATCAGAGCCTCAGTCTCCAGGAGCTCCAACTGGACACTCTATCCTCCCTCCTCTCCCAGTTTCCAGCACCACCAGTTCAGTCACATCCTGTTTCAGCGGTGGTCCCGGTGGATGCACCACATCCTGTTCCCGTGGTGGTCCCGGAAGTCGCACCGCATCCTGTTCCAGCGGTGGTCCCAGTGGACGCACCACATCCAGTTCCCGTGATGGTCCCGGAGGTCACACCGCATCTGGTCCAGCCCGTCCAAGCGGTTCCATCTGTAGCAACTCCTCCTCCACTCAAGAAGCTGACAGTTCCGGCCCAGAAGCTGACGGTTCCGGCCCAGAAGTCGACGGTCCAGAAGTCGATGGTCCCGAAGCCGACTATCCAGAAGTTGACGCTCCCGGACCAGAAGTCGACGCCCCCGGACCAGAAGTTGATGCCTCCGGTCCAGAAGTCGACGGTCCAGAAGTCGATGGACCAGAAGTCGACGCCTCCAGACCAGGAATCGACACCCCCGGACCAGAAGTCGATGCCTCCAGACCAGGAATCGACACCCCGGACCAGAAGTCGATGGAGGTCGACGCCCCCCAGTCCTGAAGTCGACGCCTCATCCAGTCCTGTGGCCGACGCCTCGTCCAGTCCTGTGGCCGACGCCTCGTCCAGTCCTGTGGCCGACGCCTCTTCCAGTCCTGTGGTCGACGCCTCTTCCAGTCCTGTGGTCGACGCCTCTTCCAGTCCTGTGGTCGACGCCTCTTCCAGTCCTGTGGTCGACGCCTCTTCCAGCCCTGTGGTCGACGCCTCTTCCAGCCCTGTGGTCGACGCCTCTTCTAGCTCTGTGGTCGATGCCTCTTCCAGCCCTGTGGTCGATGCCTCCTCGTGTTCTGAAATCGACGCCTCCTCGTGTTTTGAAGTCGATGCCTCCTCGTGTTCTGAAGTCGACGCCTCTTCATGTTCTGGAGTCGACGCCTCCTCGTGTTCTGAAGTCGACGCCTCATCGTGTTCTGAAGTCTACTCCTCATCCACTCCAGGGGTCAGCACCTCATCCACTCTGGAGGTTGGCGCCTCATCAACTCTGGAGGTCGGCGCCTCATCCACTCCAGAGGTCGATGCCTCATCCACTCCAGAGGTCGACGCCTCATCCACTCCAGAGGTCGACGCCTCATCCACTCCAGAGGTCGACGCTCTCTCCAGTCCAGAGGTCGAAGCTCTTTCCAGTCCAGAGGTCGACGCTCTCTCCAGTCCAGAGGTCGACGCTCTCTCCAGTCCAGAGGTCGACGCTCTCTCCAGTCCAGAGGTCGACGCTCTCTCCAGTCCAGAGGTCGACGCTCTCTCCAGTCCAGAGGTCGACGCTCTCTCCAGTCCAGAGGTCGACGCTCTTTCCTGTCCAGAGGTCGACGCTCCCTCGTGTCCAGAGGTCGACGTCCCCTCCAGTCCAATGTCTCCGCCGTCTCCGTTCCAGTGGTCGATGCCGTCTCCTGTCCCATGGTCGACACCGTCTCCTGTCCCGTGGTCGACGTCGTCTCCTGTCCCGTGGTCGACGCCGTCTCCAGTCCCGTGGTAGACGCCGTTTCCAGTCCCGTGGTCGACGCCGTCTCCAGTCCCATGGTCGACGCCTTTTCCAGTCCAGTGGTCGATGCCGCCGCCTCCAGCCCAGAGGCCTACGACGCCGCCTCCAGCCCAGAGGCCGACGCCGCCACCTCCAGTCCAGAAGCCGACGACGCCGCCTCCAGTCCAGAAGTCAAGGACATCTCCTCTGGCGTCTCTGCCTCCGGTCATCGCCAGTCCTGCCCTCATCAGGTGTGGGCCCCCAAGAGTCCATCCTCGTCTCCTCCTCTGTCCCAGACGCAGGCCTCCTAGAGCTCGTCGTCACCTCCTCCTCTTCCCCAGACGCAGGCCCCCAAGAGCCCGTCGTCACCGCCTCCTCTGCCACAGACGCAGGCCCCCAAGAGCCCGTTGTCACCGCCTCCTCTGCCACAGATGCAGGCCCCCAAGAGCCTGTAGTCGCCTCCTCCTCTGCCACAGACGCAGGTCCCCAAGAGCCCGTTGTCGCCTCCTCTGCCCCAGGCGCAGGCCCCCGGACTCTACTGGTCCCTGCCTCCTCTTCATCGGGCCGCCGGTCCCTCTCGGCCCTCCCTCCGGGTCCCCCTCCTCCTGCCCTGATCTATGTTCCTGTGGGCGTCTGAAATCCGCCCTTTGAGGAGGAGGGGGGGGGGGGGTACTGTCACACCCTGTCTTGTCTCCCTGTGCTGTTTAGTCATGTGTCCATGTTAATTGCTCCCACCTGCCTCTCATTTCCCAATCACCCAAGCTCCCAGCCCTCTTGTATCTAAACCCCTTCAGTTTTGTGTCTTGTGTTGGATTAGTGTTTCTATGTCTAGCGTGTTCTATATTAAAGCCTTTGTAAACCGTTCCTGTCTGTCTGCCTACCTGCATTCTTCACCCATGTTTGGATCCTTGCCTCCGCTCACCTCGCCCACACGCCATGACAAGATCAGAGCATCCGGTATCTGAAAGAAGGCGTTTTCTGAGGTTGTCTTGGTAATATTCTTCAACATGTCAACCTCTGGTTGGTCACACAAATCATAACATGAGAATATTAAAACATAATCACTCTGGTGATTCAGCAGTTGCAGTTCCAGTTCCAGCTCTCATCACTCAGCAATCAGCTCTAGAGGAAGCTACGGAAACGGCCGTCCGTAGCAAAGTCTCTTTATCTAAGAAGCAGCCTTGACACGCCATCAAGGTCGTTGCAAAGCTGACACAGCAAACAGTTCCTGCAGAACAAAGCTGATTTTGTTCCGACTCCTTAAGAGTCTAGACGCAAACCGTTCCATCCAACCTGTGTGCCTGGCGACATCTCTGGACTGGAGAAGTCGGCGCTGTGGTCAATCTACTGGACCTGGGTGCTCAGAGGTCATCCGACCTCGATGACCTACAGATCAGTGAAGAGGGACTCCGAAGGGTGCGGTAGAACACAAAGTGATTACGTCTTATGCTTTTTGATAAGAATTAACTTCATAGCTTAACACAAACCAAATTATTTTACACCCAGAACTCAGCTTTCCTAGATACGGAAGTTCTGATAACATCGCATTCACACATAGGCACCATATACCACATCTACTCCATCTAGATTCATCCATCACAGTAAATATTAGTTAACTTGTCATGTTTTAATTGTTTGGGAAATAATTTCTTACTTTTACGAACCTGACTCTTTCCTTAAATCAAAACGAAGTGTTTACAATCCCTGAATAAAACAAAGAAACATAGAATCTTCTGATAAACACACAAAGACCAAGTAGGTTGATATTCTATATTTATATGGAGTATCACAGCCTATTGGTCATATGTAGAGGTAATATATATATTTTGAGCTCTTAAAGCACTCAATTTACCAAATCCTACAACTTGGAGTTCATTAAATAGATCTTTTTGGTTGTGAAGATGCTCACAGCCACATTATATGCTTGTTTCATACAGCTGTGTTTTGATTTTATCCTTACTTTCCAATTAACCCTTTAAAATAAACACACATCATTTTTGTTTGGTCTATTTCTAGGTTTCTAAGAGCTACCTCTTCAACAGGATTTGTACATTCGTCCAAAAACCTTCCATATAAGATATTCTCTACCTGGTGGAGATTCGAAGCATTGCAGGTGGCATTTGCCAATTTAATTTATTATTTTTTTATTGTTAAATATCTACACAGTAAAATATAATAATTTAGTTGTTTTATTACCATTAGCCAAATGATTGGTAACTTTTAAAGCTGCTTAGACAAGCTAGGTTTTGAACGTAAACACGGTCAACTCACCCCTCCCCTTGAGTATCTTCCTTGAGTTTTGTGCCAGAACCGGACACCCGCATTTCATGAGGAAACAAGATGGTGCTAAACACCAGTCACTGTTTTATACATCCAAACTTATTTTTATGTCTTTGACTTCAAATGGTGTTTTTCTTTTTGGGACTCAGGTAGTTTGTCCTAAAGTTGAAGTGGTAGCAGCCGACTGTTTCTCCTGTTCTCATTTTATTGATGTGAGAATGGGAGAACCTCTCACACCAGTGGTGCTCTGTTGCTAAATGTGAGTGTGTAATTAATGGAGGACTCAGGGAAGCATAAAAGTGCAGGAGTTCGGCGAGACTGACAACCGGATGGTCCAATAGTTGCTTTCGGTCTGCAACGTGTTAATGGCAGAAGTTTTGGGACAAATGCAGGAGAACCACTTCATTCAAATTTTTCATTTTGTATTTAAATCTGTTAAATTATTGAGGCATGAAAAAAATAGTTTTCCAAATTTGCCATTGTAGATTTAAATGAAATTTGCTGAAGCTTTAGCTAAAGGTGTGCTTCTGAGATTATGTTAGCAGTGCTAACACCTTTTAGCATTAGGCTGCTAATAGTATGTCTGTTAATATTCTGTTGCCTCTTTTTAAATAGGAAAATAATGGGATGACCAAAAGGAGTGCTTAAAAATAAACCATATACTTAAAAAAATAAAGTAAGGTCATTATTATAAACACATCTGTGATGTGTGTTAATAACAATTACAGATTAAGTTGTTTATTGGTCATTTTGGCCACATAAACACTGCAGTCAGATCCTAAACCTAACCCTGAAATCCATCTGTCCTGACTTAGTCAGTTTGTGGCTAAAACATATGAACTCAGACCAAGTAATCTACTTCATTCTGGTTCCTCCGTTTAATTTAATCTAATGTGGTTCCCTTTGGCTTCTTTTTGACTTAAAAAAAATGTCTAGAAGACTTGACACAATGATGTCAAAATAAAAACTTTATGAGCCTTCTGAGGAAGAAAAACTTCCCATGCTAGTCGTTTTTCAAAACTTGACCACAAATTTTTCCAATATTTTGTAGTAATATTAATAATAACTTGGTGAAATCCTAGAAGCCCATTCTGCGATACCTTTTGTGAAACTAAGTAAAGAAAATGATAATTTTTCCAGTCAAAAAAGAACGATAGAGAAAGTCCCAGTTGTGACTCACCACAGAAGTTCTGTGACCCCACAGTTATAGAGATGTGTGTCTCTGCTTCCTTTGAACCTAAATCTGCATGTTTCTTCCCTTTAACTGTGAAGCTGATGTGAAACTGACTAATTACAGGAGTGACATCACTGTCTGTCTGTTTTTGACTCATTGCTTGACTTTAGGCCCCATGCACAGTGACGTTAATGCTCTCTTGCTAATACCCATGTGTTGTGCTTTATATTCCAGACTCTTCTGATCCACTTTCAACACTTAAGGAGTCTCCTACCAGATTCCCACACACACCACCCAAGTCTAAGTCCAAGGACTCATCCATGAAAGAAAAGAATATCAAAAGTAAAAGTGCCACCAAATAAAATCAGGAAAATTGGAACGGATAATTGAACTAATCGCATGTTCGTGTGTGTTTTTCTGTTTCAGACGCGGGCTCAGGAGCTGGACTAACAAAACCTGATGACAGCTCTGATTCGGGACTCTTCGTGTGGGTCATCTCCAGCTGCGTGATTGTCGTTTTGGTCATCATAACTCTCCTGGTAGTGCTGTGGAGGTGCCATCAGCGCCGCAGCGTGCCTGAACTGCAGCAGCAGCAGCAGCAGCAGCCCACCGCCGTGTCTCTTAACACTTTGGCTGTGCCGAAGCGAGACAGCATCAGCAGTGACAACATTGGCTCAGACCGCAGCGATGCTGTCTTCCCACTACGGTCTTCTGAAAGCATGATCTGCCATCACTATGAGCGTGTGAGTGGTGAATACGGGGCTCCTGTGTATATAGTTCAGGAGATAATGCCTCAGAGTCCTACCAACATCTACTACAAAGTCTAATATTTGCTCCTCGGATCGCACTTACTTTTCCTAAAACGATTGCTGTTGCATACGAGACACACCTTCCACGGCTTTGTCTGTACAGTGTGAAGTGTTTTGGCAGTTAACGTGTGAGAGGGTTTTCACAACTATCTAAGATGTGTGACTACAGGTTTTGCTAAGTTTATTTATGAGAAACGACTCTTTTTCAGTCACCTTATGCCAGCTACTAATATTCAGATGTGTGGATTTAATTTAAACTAACTCATGGTGGAAGATGAAATTCATCCAAATATTTATTGATTTGTCCGCCGCTGTTCGGTGTAAACTTGTCTGAACTGCCGTGAAGTGAAATGAAATGAAATGATTCTGTGACTTTTGTTGAAATAAAACGGGGATCCAAAGCTTGCCGAATCATTTCCATTCTGGCTCAAGAGTTTAAATGACTGCAGTGACCTTGTTTCAGAGTAAAAACCGTTGTATTTAACTGTAAATCTGTTTCTGTGAGACAATGAGGAAAACAATGGAACAGAAGGTGGTGAGATAAGTTTGAATCAGAAAAGAAATTACAGGACATCCCCTCAGATTTACTCAGCAGCTCGGTGTCTGCTGGACTTGAGCAGCAACGCTGCATGTGTTTTATTACTAAGACCTGACAGAAACGTACTTGAAGGGGTATTCAGACTTTTGATTTGTTGCAAACACTTTCACATGAATATATTATGAACTCAGAACTGTTCTCAAAATGATTTTAGGGGGTTTTAAAGTGTTCGTTTAGATATTAAACATTTGTTTGATGCTGTGGTTTAAATCATTTTACTGCATAAAGAACAATAATAGCTCATTTCTAAAGAATGTTTTAAGTGCATTAACTTTGTAATAGTCTAAGTGCCTAAAATTTATATGAAGGGTAAAAAAACAAGATCAAAAAGAAATCTTAAAGCTACTGGGTGTGGGTCATTAGGGTCATCATGGTCACTTCCAGTGGTTCACAAAGGTCCCAACGGTAAATGGCTTGTATTTGATATAGCACCTTCTAGGGTCCTGGAACCCCCCAAGGCGCTTTACAACACAATCAGTCATTCACACATTCACACACTGGTAGTGATGAGCTACAATGTAGCCACAGCTGCCCTGGGGCGCACCAACAGAGGCGACAACAGGAGTGTCTTCAGTCAGAGGCTTCTTCAGTTTCGCTGCAACACTGACCGCTACTGGAGATCCTTCCTGCCAACAGCCATTGTAATATACAATAACTCTTTGATGACTTGATTATTATTATTATTCTGAGCTACTACAGCAATCAATTTCCCTCTGGGATTAATAAAGTATTTTTGAATTGAATTGAATTGAGGCTGCCGAGCACTGGCGCCACCGGTCCCTCCGACCACCATCAGCAGGCAACGTGGGTTAAGTGTCTAGCCCAGGGACACAACGACAGCAACAGACTGAGCGGGGTTTGAACCTGCAACCTTCCGATTACAGGGCGAGCACTTAACTCCTGTGCCACTGTTGCGGTGGTAGTGAATAATGAGGGTCACCATGGTAACCGCACTTAATGGGAGGCAACAACAGACATGAAAGGAAGCTTCAGACAAACAGCTGCTGCATGAAAAGTAGAATTCAAGCTGAAAAAATCTTGGACTATGCAGCAGAAGGCTCAGGTGTGGTGTTTAAACTTGTACGTCTGAGATACAACAAGGTACAAAGATGATTCTTGTTTAGAATATAAGATTTGGAGATCAAATTAAATAGAAACCTATGGATGCTTTGGTGCATCTTCGCACTCTGAGTGGCTTTAGTGCAAAAAGCTGCCAAAGTTGCAGGACTAACATTGAACAGTGACATTCCAGCTAACATTTTGTTTGAGAAGTCTCAGAAATGTATAAAATTACAACTGTGATTGGATTAAAATCATTAAACTTAACTTTCTGAGACCCATTTATAAATATATAGATAGATAAAAACACATTTTTGTGAATAATTTAGTCCCAGTGAAATAGGATCATGAAATGAGCAGTAATAAAGCTGCTCTGCTGCTTATGAAGAGGTTACCTTAGCAACAGTTTATTATAAATTAAAGGAGTCACTAAACATCTTTCTCGCTTAGAAATAAATCAAAGAGGCATCACATTTTCACTTACAAGCTCTCAAAGGAACCAGTGTAAAAACATATTTACATAAAGCAAACACTGATTTTATTTAATTGTCTCTCGGTCTCTCTCCTGCGGCGCCGCATGAGCCACCCGCGGGCAAACATGTTTCATGCTCCTTCAGCCACATCATGCAGCACATTTTCAACCTGTCGACTTCCATGAGCTTCCTCTCCACAAGGGACACTCGTCTCCGACAGCCAGAACGCCAGATGAGAAAATGTTTGGGACATGTGACACGTAGGCTGAACTCAGCTGAAGTCTAACAGCTTATGCATGAAAACAAAAGACAAACAAAAGCTTCTGAAATCCAGCACAGGTTGAGTTTGTTTTAGTTTATTTTTTAGACTTGTTGCTTTGCCTGATGGTTTTTAATAAAAGAGCTGCAGCTGAAATGCACAGATGGCCTTAATCTTTTCCTGCAGCAAAACGTAATTTCCCCTTTGGCACATGATACGTTTGAATTCATGAAAAAAGTGTGTCAGAGATAACTTCATTAGTACTTTCTATAATTATATTCTCTATTTGACCCATTGTGTGGCAACCCTTCTGCAACTCTCATGTTTCTTGAGCTTCGCTTTAATCCGCCTCTTTGTAGCTGATCACATTCTTCAGGCTACTCTTGCACAGCGAAAAAAACAACATGAGACTAATTAGCTTCTGTCTCTAAATCATAGCAGTTTATACGTGCACATGTGTGTGTGTGTGTGTGTGTGTGTGTGTGTGTGTGTGTGTGTCCACCCCCTTGCTTTAAGTGACCTTCATGTGAGAGGTTTTTGTCCTGTATGTGAAGCTGCACATCTGAATGGTTCGTGGCCAGGCGAGGTGAGTTCAGTTGACCCCAGGGTCGTGGTGGGACAATGGCGGCCAGGCTTCTATAGGAAGAACAAAACAGAGGCCCCCAGGCTCATGGCCCCTGATGTGGGAGGGGCTTAGAGTAGTGGGCCACGTATAAAAGAAAAAAGTGTTGCCATATCAGATGGGGTGTTTTGGATATCAAGTCCTGACTTGATTGGATCAAGTGCCACCTGTGTGCTGTTTCTGGTTGTCCGTTTTACCAGGGAGGGGCTTTCATTGTGCCAAAATTTCAAAACTGCTGTTTTTTCATGCCACTGCTCTACTTTTACTTTGTAATTCTACAAAGTATGATAAAAAAGTTAGTAAAAACACTTGTGTGTGGGATACCTGCTCTACTAAATAAATGTTTTATGCCACTTGTACAGAGAAGCAGAGGGGGGAGGTCTGCGAAGGAGAGCTGTAAGCTTTTATCTGACCCCATGGGACGATGAGAAGTCGACAAGCTCCTCATGTCCACCCACCCCCCACCTCACTTCCATATGCAGAGGAACTACTAGCTTTGTGTGGGGGGTTGGGGGTCATGACTGAGTGCTCCCACTCCCACTGTGTGCCGAGGAGCAGAGAAGAGTGGTGGTGAGATGTTGTCCAGTTGGTCAGTCAGAGGAGAGATTAGATCTGAGATTAAACTTGGAACTCTCGATGAAGTGAACTAAAATGTGTCTGCAGGCTGCGTGAGCATGTGTGCAGAACAGTTGCACGTACTGGACCTGTGTTTTTTTTTCCTTATGAACTTGCGGGTTGCAAAGTAAGCCAATGTCAAACAACTGAAACCACAGTGATGGGGAAGTAGCTGCTTCCGTTTACAGTTGACAATAATCTCATCATTAAGCAGAATTCAGTTTGCTAGTTCCCTCTGCTGGCCAGCACACATACTGTACCACACTTAGATGTTTGAAGCTATTTGCATAATTTATCACAACAGAGAAAGCCTGGAGCTGCAGATGGTGTGTTCTTCCATAAAAGCCAGGAGCAATCCAAAACAAGACAATGACTTCATGTAATTACTTTGTATTTAGGAAAAAAGCTGCTTGTGCGTTTTATTAGATTTCCATTATATTTCTAACCACCCTGTGGTTCTGTTGTAGAAGGGGACTTTGGATAAATGTTGAAGGGATCATCTGTATTTTATTCAGCTACTTCGTTATGTTAGGAGTTTGTAAAAAAACACTTACTCTTTTCTGTGTTTGACTTTATTTATTTTGCAGAAATAAAAATTAAATGGGAGATTTTTCTACTTATTAGCTGTGCAGGAGGGTCTAACATAAAGCCTTTAGGCGGCGTTTAGTAAGGAAATCTTGTTTAAGTAATTTTAACTCAATCAACATCTAAGCCAAGTTATTGTCCAAAATGTATTTTAACTTGCTAAATAAAGAAGAAGAAGAAGAAGAAGAAGAAGAAGAAGAAGAAGAAGAAGAAGAAGAAGAAGAAGAAAATATCATTTCTATAGTGCCTCTCAAGATAAAAATCACGAGGCGCTTCACAAAAACAAAAAAATGTAAAAATGTAAAACAGAATTTAGAAAATGGTTAAAAATATATTTAAAATGAGCAAAAAATGGACAATTGTGATCAAAAAATGTAAAGAAAGAGAGAGAGTGAATAGGAAAGAGGGAAATAAGTGGATCCTGAGGAAGGTGGAATAGGTGGGGAGAGCAGAATAAGATTCCTGACAGAAGGTTTGGTGTGAGAAATAAGCTGACCAAGAGTCTCTGACTTATAATCATAAATCTCTGACTTATGTTAATCATAAATAAAGAAAATGATGTTTGATAGAAACATAAGAAATCTGAAGGATCAAAGAAAAATATCTTGATGAATCTCAAATCAGGAAAAACACTCACTCAAAGCCATCCACGTATGAAAAAGTTATACTTTTAAAAAGCAAAGGAACAATTTCTAAACTCTAAAATAAATTTCTTTCAGTAATAATAACAAACATATAAAAATGGCTAATCAATTATAAAAATGTAACATGGAGATCAGTGCTTCATAAGAGCTCAAAACCTTTTGTCTTTTTTTCCCAGCTGATGCCTCTGATCTAAAACATCAAAATGGTTTATTTAAAAAATTACAATTCAGAAAAGTATATTTAGTAGCAGAGAAGTATATTTTGTCATTTGATAAACAATTATTCCGTTTTACTGAAGTCTACACATCACTTATTTTTTGTCTTTAATATAGTTTTGTAATGAAACATTTTAAAGACAGATGTAAAAACATGTTTCTTCAAGATAATGCAGTTTTCAACAGTTCATTTTCATTTGACTTGTAAGTTAATTGGTGGATGTTTATGTCAGAAAAACTTCACAATCTGGTGAACGTTACGCTTGTTGGAAAAGGCTTGAAAATAACTCAGTTTTTATAAAAAGAAACCCTTCTTGTTATCGGTATATTTTAAGGTGTTTTCAACTAAAAGAATCAGTGTCTACACATTAATCAAACAAATAATCAGGAGAAAATGTTTGCTTGATAAGATAAATAAATGTTTATTAAAAATTGGTTGTCATGCCTTTCCCCCAAACTAATACAACTTATTTAGTAACCTAATGAAAAAAATAAAGAAAATTAAAATAACCATCTGACATGGATATATATATATATATATATATATATATATATATATATATATATATATATATATATATATATATATATATATATATAAATAAAATCACACCCCCCCCAAAAAAAAAACAACTATTAATGTCTGGTTGTTGTAATTATTTGTGATTACTGCAGCTGCAACAGGTTAGTTATTTTTTTAAAAGTTACACATGTTGTAGCTACAAAAATAAAACATGCATATTTTCACCATTTCTGCCACATTTACCTGAACATTCTTATGAAATTCACACCGCTATGCCAATAAACTTCCTATTAAGTGCGCACATTTTATTCAATTACAAGCTGTGAAAAAGAGCAGCTTTTCTGCTCCTGTGTCCCTCCTTCTGAGAGGTGGAGGCTGGTTGGAGAAGATCGAATGGATCGGAAGTACCGTAGTTTGTGTGTATGCTGATAGGGGAGTTGGGGGTAGCTACATATTTACGTTCAGTGGGAGCCGCCCTTCATTCACCCACATGGTTACCAACTGCTCGCCTTCGCGCCACTTTCTTAACCCCGCAATCATCTTTAAAAAGCCTTTCTGAGCTATAAATTGGCTCACTGTCGCTCCGGAGTTCACTTAGTGTTTTGTTTTCGTCCAGCGGAGCAAAAGTTTCGGGGAGAGTTGCGTGTTTATATGGCTCTTTTGTCGGTGGGAGACTGCACGGCAGCCCAAGCAAGTGAGCGAAGATGGTGGATTTGGCTGGTGAGCGCATGTTTATCGGTAAGGAAGTCGTGTTTGAGTGTCTTGTTTCATTCTTTTATTTTAGTCCACATCATCCTCCCGCCGTGTGTATTTTCAGCGTTTTGTTTTCCTCACGGTGCTGCTTGTGATATCTAGACATTAACGCGCAGGCATGAATGATATGTTGGCGATGAAAACAGTAGGCGCATGGCAGCCCCCACGGCTCCACCATTGAGGGAATGAGGGAGATTTGAAAAGCTGGTGCTGGAGCGTTTTCCGCTGCGCTTTACCAAGCCCTGGAGGATAAATGTCTGGCCTCTTGTTGACTCCATGATGCGTGTGAATGTACACGTCTTAAATGTACAAAGTTAGTTTGTTAATCTTGTGTATTTGCGACTGTGTGTCGAGTTCAGTGGTGTGTGAGTTAAAGTGCCCCCCAGAACAAAGCAGCAGCACATGGGGCAGCTGTAGGCCGCGCGTTTTAGCTTAGCTATTGTAGCCTAGTTGTATCTAGGTAAAGGTGCCACAGTATGACAACTATAAACATTATTATTAATAGCGCGAAACCAGTCGTTAAAGAAATACAATTGGACAACCAAATCCAGTGGTGCGCACGTGCTTTATTTTTAAACGTGTGTTCGCTAGTTGTTGGCTAACCGCTAACCATAGTTGCACTCGTTTCCAGCTTGTGTGGTGTGCTACTTTGCTCCACATCAAATCGACTAGCGAAAATCAAGAGCTCCTGTAGACAACTGTCTTTACACGTTTAGCATAATTACCATCAAACAAATAGTAGCTTATTGTAGCTACGTGCTCTAGATTAGCGAGGCGCACAGCTAACGTCTGTTAGCCGCTAGTGCTCCGACACGCATGGTAGCCTTGTTTCCCAACACGTCCGAAGCCGCGAGCTTTGTTTTGTCTACGATTAAGGTCGTTGTGATATTTTGTGTGTAAGACGACATACAGCGTGAGCTCGTTTAGTTTTTGTCGTTTTAAATGCTAGGGTTGGCGCACTTCGAGGCGCCATGTTAAATGAGGTGGGGGAGGGGTGAATAGAAGCGTTCTGCGCGCATGCGCTTTGATGTTGCAGCGAACGCGGGCAGAAGGTTGTGCGGCTCATTCATGCTTTCTGCGACCTCGTGCTCCCGTAAACTACGACGTTCTGACTCACAACTCCAGTTTGTGCTAAATATCTTCAAGGCACGTGGAAGTGACTCACTTTTTAAATACTTTTAAAATTAGATTTTAGGCAGATCTGATAGATTTAAACTAAAAAGTCAGTATATTCTAGCTTGTTGCTTAAGTGGTAAGCATAATTTTAACAAGTGTCTTTTTTTCTTTTTTTTTCTGCAGGTCCACCAAGATATAGGAGACTCCTTGGAAAATGCATCCATTGATGGTTATCCTAGTCCTGGAGGAGGAAGTGTTGTAAATCTGTCTTTGTATTGCCAAAGTGCTTACAGTGCAGGTAGTACTATGTGATACCTACTGCAGTGGAGGCACTTAAAGCAATACCCAGACTCAGGATCTCAGACTATTTATTTTTTACATGTCTTTTGAGTTACTGTCTTTGTGCTAAGGTGCATCTAGTGCAGATAGTGAAATAGACTAGCACCTACTGCCCTAAGTGCTCCTTCTGGCATAAGGGGCTGTGATGTGCACCACCAGATCATTTATAATTTCTAATTGGGCCCAAACATCTTGCAGTTCTCTGCTAGTTTTGCATAGTTGCACTACAAGAATAGATGAGTTGTGCAAATCTATGCAAAACTGATGGTGGCCTGCTTGCTCTACACCTGTTCTGATTTTTTTGGGGTGTGTGTGGGGGGGTGTTGTTGTTGTTGAACTTAACCTGAATGCATAAAACAAATGTTGAAAACAAGGAGTGTTTCACCCACTGACCACAGTTTCAGCAGTACTAAAGTGCTTATAGTGCAGGTAGTGTTTTTCTCTATCTACTGCAATGTAAGCACTTGAAGTATTTCTAACTGTATCTGACTGGAGTCTGAGGTAAACATTGAGGACAAAACCGTTAATTGTCACTTGGTCAGTTTTGCTGGTTTGCATTCAGCCTTAACAGATGTGTGCTGTGCAAATCCATGCAAAACTGACTAGGTTGATGGTGTTTGCTGCCAAGTTGAACTGCCTTTTTACTGATTTGGTGGATAAATTGGGTGTTTCTGGGAGTTTCATGAGAAGATGTCCTGTCTAGTGCAGGTGGGGATTTGTAGCAATGCTGTGGTCCTGGAGGTATTGCACTTGTCCCGGCCTGTACAGGAACAAGGAGATGAGCTGACCACGATCTTCACATGAGCACATTTCATAACCGTTGCATGCATGTGCTGTAAATAAAGTCTGTGCACTTATTTGGATTTATTGTGTGTGTGTATGTGATCATTTTGTTTGTATTTTGATCATTAAAGTTGACTTTTACTTTAAATTTCAGCCCAAGCTTTTTATTTATTTATTTTTACTTGCACCTAAAACATAAACATTAGAAAAAGTTTGGTTTGGAAAAACAAGCATTTGAGTAGATTTTTGTACATCTGACAATTTATATTATCCGTAGGCCTATAGGCATTTTTTGGTAAGTTTAAAAAACGACTTCTTACCATTTTGTCTATTCATTGTGATCTAGTTTACGGAGGGTGTAATCTGGAGGGCTGTGTAGGAGACAGAAATATTAGGAATACATGTAGATGGTATTTAAGTCTAAAATGGTCAGATAGGGTACTTTACCTGGCAATCTTGTGTTTGTTTATATATGAAAAAAGTCCAAGTAATTCTGGTTAATTAAATATTTAGCTAAATAAAAATTCCCTTTATTTTGGCTGGTCCACAGCAACAACTGGTACTACAGCGACTGTCCGCTAGATGTCGCTGTCCTACAGCACTTCGGGATCCAGCTTCCCCGCGCAGGTAGTAGCGCATCACAGTACCGCCTCTGTTGTCGGTCCAACCAAGCTAAATGCTGCTTTCAGTCAGACACGAAACAACCTCGAAACTTTGTTTCACCTGAAAGATTTTGAAAGGCTTATCCGGACAAAAATAAACTCGTGCTTTCTAGCTCCTGAAATGTGGACTCACCTGACACGCGCCGTCGTCCAGGTTGAAGAGAAACCCTAACTTCCAACAAGCTGCTTTTTCTTGGGATTTTTTTCACCCTTTAGTGTTTAAAATGAGTATGCTGTGGAGATGCTGCCTTTTACTCTTTGTTTATCGCTGCGCATCAGGATTCGGGTTGGACACATGCGATGAAGTCCGTAAAGTTTTTCAACTCCGGCAAATCGGACCTAATAAATTATTGCCATCAAGTCCCGTACCAGGTATGTGGGTCAGGCAACTCATGAGATGGAGAGAAAAAATATCTAACTGCTGTTTTTATTTATAGGTTTTTAGTATTTTCAAAACACACAAAACAAAAATATTTATTGCTCCAGTGTTTATTATCCTGCCTTTCAGAGACAGCACAATGCGCAAAAATGCAATTTCATCCGCCGAATCTGGTCCACATGTGTTACAATTAGGTGAGTGAGTCTAATGAATTTCAGCTAATTTCCGTTCACTTACATAAAGCCATTCATAAAGAAACAGTTTTATTAAAGAGATCATCAGCAGGTGTGAGAATCCAAACACAAGTCAGTTTTGCTGGTCTGAGACTTTTAGTTGTGTCTGAACAAAATGCCCAAAAGAGACAAAGATCTCAGTTTTCAGTTGTAACATTTAGTCAGATGGTCTTATAAGGTCTAATTTAAGTGTCCATTAGCATAAAATGAGAATGTTTCTAAATAATAAAAAAGCACCTTTAAGATAGTCTTTCTAATTGGTGTCCCAACAGGTTCACCATGAGGTCAGACAATAATTCTTACTAGACTGGGAAACATTATTCTTGGTGCAATTTTGTTTAGATAGACATGAAAATGCGGAGACATTATGTTAGAATTACAAAAGAACATTCATAAAAGAGAGAATAATCTTGTGATTAAATAAATTTAAGTATCAACCAGACCTTTAAGTCATGGGTTTAGTGTGACCCAGAACCCATTTACCCTAAATCATCAACATTTACTTCACCTTTCAACTGTTGTGTTTCCACTATTCTCAGAGCTGCAAGGTCACACAGCAGGATGTCCCAGTTCTGCACAAATCCTAACTATTGGACCTTAAAGGTGCACTTTGTGGAAATGAAGTAAACATGACATCCTGTGGTAAAATTTGGTTACTGCAACCTCAACAAACAACTCTGGAGCTTTTGGCCGGTGTTCTGACTATTCGTGCTTCCTCGTTGAATATTCCTACAGCAGTGTGTTATGGCAGTTTTACCCTTGTTTACAGTATAGTGACATGCTTATTAAGCACATTTTATTTTAAATATGTGATATTACTCAAAAGTGCAGAACTGTAGTATAATTACTAGCAAGAACATTTTTCTATGAAAAAGGCAGTGTCATGATTCAGTGAATGGGAAACAATGGAATAAATTTCTTGTTTACAGTATGATTTCAATATTTTACAAGCTGTTTGCAAGCTAACTGTCAGGTAAACATACAACAAGCAGTAATATAACAACTTCCAAAGAAAGGTACCGTCATCAAAAACAATTGTTGGCGTAGTAGCTCGGAGGAGACCCGGCAACCCCGCGCTCAATGATGGTAAACAGTAGTTAAGTCCCTTCTTCCTTTTGTTTTGAAATGAAAAAAACTGACAATTCCCACAGCCAGCTGGATATGAAAAATTTTTCATTGTAACTTCCTTTCCAAAATGACCGAAATATTAGTATTTTGGGATTTTCTCACAAAGATTCTCAATATATTCTTAAATACTGCACCTTTAACTAGTCAGAAGTGTTGATAAATGCTAAATGACCTGTCAGTGTTTAGTGCCTGTATGAGTCAGAGGACTCCAAAGCGCTTTATTCACACATTCACACATTTACATGTTGGTGGTGATGAGCCACAATGTAGCCACAGCTTAACTGGGTCACACTGACAGAAGCGAGGCTGCCAAGCACAGGCGCCACCAGTCCCTCCAACCACCACCAGCAGGCAAGGACTGTAAAATGTCTTTACAAGTGACGCAACGACAGACAAGACTGCAGAAGCCTGGGTTCGAACCCGCAACCCACCGATTCGAGGGCAAGCTCCTAACTCCTGAGCTGCTATCACCCATCATCATGTTGAATGTTCCCCTGTTCTCCCGAGGTTCCTGGTACTTCCAAGCCACCACCTCCCCAGCAGGGGAGCATTACTCCTATAAACTGTCAAAATAGGTCCTGATCAATTAACTCGACTTCTATAAGGTTAATATCATAGAAGATTACGCAAATTCCATCTTTCATGGTTTTTGCAGAAGAATAATTTCAGTTACATGCTAACTGTAATTGGTCCGTTTTTCTACCTTTACTAGAACAGCTTGTTAAGTCCATCTCTTCATGTTTATGTTCTTACCAGCTGTGGGCTCGTTTAAGTCATGCTGCTTTAACTCCGTGACTCAAGGAGCCAAGGCTGCTGAGACTACCCGTTCATCAAAACTGAAAGAAACTCTCCTCCCTCCCGAGAGTGTTTACAGCAGATAAGTGGCTTGCAGGGATGAAGAGGAATTATTTTGTTTAAAGTTAGGTAAACTAGGCCTCACTTAACTTCTCTGAACGCCTCCTACGGTAATTATGTGTAAGATTTGGGAGGCATTATGGGTGTGGATAGTTCATGTGGGCTGTCATTGACTGGATGGCTTGCTGCTGCTGCTGTTGGTTTCTGTGCTCCTAGAAAAGTAAAGAGTAATGGTGTTGACTGCCGTCCTGCCACAAAGTGCAGCCTATAAACTCAATCAGTCTGTTTCCTGGCTGCTGCGTGGAAGCCCGATCCATTGACAGAAACCCTCAAAATACCTCAAAACCTCTGAATGACTCTTGTAAAGGCCCTGTTCTTTCGACTCTGTTCTTTAGCTCCCCTGTAGTTTAAAGAGCAAGTCACCCCCTACAAGAAACTTACTTCACTCCCTCTTCATGATTAAAAAATGCAACAAATGATGTTGCCTAGCAGACCAAGAGGGCGGAGCTCTAACAAATACACACACACACAGGCTCACAACGGCATTGTGACATCATAATGTACCAGTTTACATCATAGCATACCTCTTAGCCAATAGCGGTGGCAGATTTAAATTCAGCTGCAGTGCAGAGTTTTTACCTGACAAGGGCACAACACTGACAGTTTTAGGCAGAATATTTAAATTTTAACTGAAATGCACTAAAGTGCTAAACTATTGACTACACGTGTCTGCAGCACGATTAGACACACATTTATATAGTTTATCAGGGAAAAAAAGCTGATTTGGGGGTGACTTGCTCTTTAAGAAATGATAACTTGAGGTAAAAAACATTTCCTGCTTTCTGAAACTAACCTCTGTTGACCCATCAAGCAGCTTATCAAGTTCAAACTGCATCAAGACACTGGCGAGACGTTGGTTTCCTTGATGGAATCGGATAGATATACATCAGATATGTAATGTAGAACGTGATCTGTTATCTATAATTGGGTCTAGGAAAGAAAAACTGGAGAAATGTATATATCATGCTGCTAAGAATTGCCAAATAGCTTTCAGTTTAGGTCAGAATGCAGCAAGTCAGAGGTCCTGTCTGCAGTGTGGGAAGTGGAAATGGACCTGGCATGCATTAAAGTTTAAAGCAGCAAGATTTTGGGGCACTTCCTTGCTGCCTTATCAGAAAGACTTTGAATTCCGACGTGTGTGCCGCAGCCGGCTCTGCTCTCTGAACGGCCCTGAACCTCGCAGGGAGTAGATAGCGTCTGGCAGCAGTCTACACACTCTGCCTGGGCTTGTCAGAGAGGCTTCTGCTGACTTCTGGGTCACCTTTGCAGATTACTAGCATTTTTTATAGGAGAAGATTCAAGACAGCCCTCAGTTTAGCCTTTAACAATCTCTATAGTCCGTTTGTTTATTATGAGGGAAATACCCAAACTGTTACATTGCTTTTCTTTTAAGTGATGATTTATTTATTTTTAATGCACATGACTTCCAGGGAATCGTTCCTCAAAATCAACATCCCTTTGGGTCAGTTTACAAAGGAGGCATCTTTAATGGTGATTTCCATTGTATTTGGTACTTGCAATGAATCGTGAGGTGCTGACCAGCTTGGATGTTGAAATTCAATAGGACATTGTGCTAAAACATTTTCACTACTTTCAGGTTCAGATCTTCAGGTGTGCACATCCCAAAACCTGACGTGCTGCACCAAAAAGATGGAGGAGAAGTACCAGTTGGCAGCCCGCAGAGACATCCAAAATTTCCTGCAGGCATACAGCAATGGCCTCAACCTGCTCCTTACACGCAATGTGGCTTCTTTTCAAGGTAAGTGTGTGTGTGTGTGTATTTAGGTATCACAGCTGCGACTTTTAAACACACTTGTGTGCAAATGTTTATCCCACTGACGTGGCATTCATGTGTAGAGTGCCTCCTCTAGAGTGTGCCTTGTTGTGTTTGCATTGAGAAAATGTTGGATGAGTCAGTCAGTGTGTGTGCGTGTGTGTGTGTGTGTGCGTGTGCGTGTGCGTGTGCGTGTGTGAGTACGGCTGCACTACAGAGCAAACAGATCTGCATCTGTCCTCCATCTCCATCCACCATGATCTTCAGATTAGATATGCCGACTATTTCTGCTTCAGGCACGGGAGGCTGTTTGTTGGGGAAATGTCTGTCAGGGAGAGCAAATTGAATTTTTAATGCTATTTTTTTCTTCCTGTGAAAGATTTCCACATCCATTTGTATCCTAGACCAAAATAAATAAGGTAACCATTTTCAGGCGATCTGAAAACTGTTGATCTGTCTGTTAACTGACTGAAGTGGACACATTTTCCATTCCTCTACGTCCTTTCCATCAGCAACAACTTACAAGCAGCGACTTGCCTCTTTCTGCCCAGTGTGGGTTCTTTCTCTCACTTGGACTGGTCTCTGTCTTATGAGGGTTGAAATGGGTGGGCAAAAAAGACAAACAAACAAAAAGAGCCCCACAGAGCTCATGACTTGAACATTCATCTTGAGACATATCATTAAGCCAATTGTCTGTAAAGCTGCCTTTCAGTTTAAAGACAGGCTGTTATTCTCCCCCTAAAACTCAAATGATTTATAGGAAAGTCTTGCAAGATGACAGTGTTTTAGTTGCGGCTTTCAGAAGTAATGCCCGTTTTGTTGTTGTTAAATGTGTCATCTGCCTTCAGCCTTTGAACTTGAATTAAAATGCTTACTGTAGTGTTATTTTTTTTAGCTTACAAAGAACACAGCCTTTGTAGAATCCAGTTTAAACCAAGTTGCAAAGTTCAATCTAACATAAAAGCATATTTCTGGTGCAACTTCTTTACCCAGTCTTCTACGCTTATCCCCAAAACACTACAGAAAAAGCTTCAACTATATTTAATTTCCTCTAAGAAAAACACTTCTTATGCCAATGAAGTTTTTTAAAATATAATTTTTTCATTTCTTATGAGTTATAAGTTCTTGTGACGAATGAAGTACTGAAAGTTTTGATCAAACCAGAGAGGAATTTTAAAAAGTCTTCAGGAGCAGGAAGCTGTTTGCAAAAAAAAATGCACTAAAGGATGTGGCACTCGCATGCGTTCCTCGGTGGAATGGCAGTCTGTGTTCGCTCCTGCCAAACCAAACAGAGTTCCCCATCAACGTAAACTCCCATCAGTCAACAAACACTGGAGGCTGTTTGACTTCCAGCCTGTAGTAACACAGCTTCAGTTTTTCAGATTAGGCCCTAAAATCACAGCAGCTGAACATTTTTGTTTATTTGTTTTACACAAGCCAGTGTTGCTTAGTTATCACCCCTCAATGGTTAAAGGCAGGTAACCTTGTATTTGCCCCTTTTGTCTGTGTTTGCTTGAAAATGATCATTGGATTCATGTTCACAACTAGTAAACCTTTCCAGTCAACACAATTAAAGATGGCTGCCACAGTAAGTGGAACTTTGAAAACACAGAATTGGCTAAAAGTCAGTCAACTGGGCATGCACTCAGCTTAAATGTGAGTTGATAAGCCTAGCAAGCCAAATGTGAATATATAGTCTGGCCATGGCCCATTGACGGATCCCAGTCATCGTGAGGCGGGATCTATGGTTGTCTTTCAAAATGCCTCCGCATGCTATTGGATAACAAGCATTGTGACGTGCCAAAGCCGTTTCAAACGAGCCGTTGCCATCGTTGTTGTTGTTTTCAGTAACATCCCGCCCACTAATAGTGGGATGTGGTTGGCTCACCAAACCAATAGAACACTGTGACTGGACCACTGTGGAGCTGTCACCATCTTAGGCCCCGTCCACACGTAGCCGGGGATCTGCCAAAACGTAGATATTTTTCTACGTTTTGGCCTGTCATCCACATGAAAACGGAGTTTTTTCACACGAAAACAGATCTTTTTAAAAACTCCGGCCAAAGTGAAGATCTGCGTTTTCTCCGTTTTGGGTGTCTGCGTGTGGACAGACAAAACCGGAGTTTTAAGGTCCGCAACGTCACTTTCCGCGACAAAAAAATGCTGACATCACGTGTGCGACCTGTGTTTACACTAGCCGACAGCATGGAAGCCCTCAGAGCTGCGCTCGCTTTATCAATTGTCCAAGCGCTTTTTGCCTGTTTGTTTTTGCAAGCGGAATTACTGCTCCTTGTGGAAGAACAGACGAAGGACGAGGTTAAGAACGGGGGAAGTACTGCTGCCTACAGGTCTGGCATGTCCTTAACAACGTGTTTATCCGGGTACGTGTGGACAGAGTTTTTTTTCAAACAAGGTGGTGTGGATGCAAGTTTTTGGAGGGGCGGATATTCGTTTTTAAAAAACCCGGCTACGTGTGGACTAGGCCTCAGTTTCACTCAGTTGCACTAACATAACCTTTTTCTAAAGAAAGATGTTTGCGTAGTTGACAGATGCCATCTTTGACTATTAACTACAACGTCGGGCGATACAATCAACATTTCCACTTTTTTCTGATTGGTCATTTTTGAGCTGGCTAGTCCCGCCCCTTATGGTGCTCTCTGCCTCTGAGTATCCAGACTCGTCCTCTTTGTAAAACAGACAGAGGACAAGTCTGGCAGGCTAGGTTAGTGACTCTTTCTCTGTCTCTCTGTCTCTCTCTCTGGGTGTTTCTCAATGTCAAGGCAAGGCGCCTGGCCTTGCGAGGGAATGTCTTGTGAGGCCAGGCACCTTGTTTACGAGGACACTGTCCTTCCTTGGTCTCCTACGAGATTTTTGCTCTACGCCAGCATTTTCCTCTCCCATGATTTCAAAAGACAGGTCTGTTAATAGAAGGTCGAACCTGTTTTCTGTGTCAAACTCGTTTAGTAGTTCAGGAAACAAGAGTTTGATCAGTTCGTTCATTTCAGCAGTTTGAGAATCAACCAGGTTTACTCTGGGTTCACGATTCTTTTTCTTCCTTCTGCGAGAAATCTCTTTAGGAAGGAACATTTAGTTCCTCGACTGTCGGACACTCAGGTATTGCGGTGAATTCGAAATCATAGTCTGCTGAAGATAAAACGTAATCTTCTTCGTAATCGATCAATGCATCTGGCTATTTGTCATCTGTTTGAGTCTCTGATGCAAAATCATCTTTTTGTAGAAAATCAACCCCTTTTTGGACAATTTCAGAGTCTGAGAGAGTTTCTTGCTCCAAGAGGACATTTGGATAATTTTCAGCCTGATTAGAGATATTTTCTGAGACTGTCTGAGTTGAAATCGTTCTTGTTTCTTTTGTCAGTAAAGCCTCTTTTAATTTCATATTAATTTCCTCCTGTTCCCTCAATTTGTTTGCCAAATAAAGAATTGTTGCGTTTTTATCATCCAGTTCTTTCTGGATTCGATTTATATCCATCAATATTTCATCAACTAGAGGTTCCTCGAAGTCAGAAAACATGTCTCGTTCTGGGATTCTGCAGCTAGTATTGTCTAAGTCGGGAGAAACATGCTCTGCAGATGCTGTTGAATGAGGAAACAGATGCGTTTTACCTTGGTAAATCTTAGATGTTTAAAATGTTTTGCACTTTTACACTGTCCTGAGGACTGTTGTGAATGAAGAGCTTTTGGGGGATGGCATGTTGTGTCAGACATGTTTTGGATTGAAAAAGCCCGTATCTGACATCTTCTATTCATCATTGAAAACAAATCCATGTGAAACAGTCGGGATGCATCGGGACATTGAATTGAATTGAATCATTGACCCAGTAGTCGTATCAGGACACTAGTAAAGTTTCACACCTCCACTATGTAAGAGTTTTAACTCTCTATGTCTGTATAAAGTTTGTAATGAATCATGTTTTGTGCGTGTACGCCAGTAGGAGTGAGTGTTGGGGGTCCTGGCTTGTCTTGGATACAGGAAAGGGGATCCTCAAGGAAAAAGAGGTACAACAGCTGTAACAGATTGATTTATGCGAGCAAATGTGAACACACACAAAGTCAGACGACAGAATGCCCTGATCTCAGATCTGATCTGTTCACCTCGCATCCATCAGATTCTGTAATTCATGAAAATAAAAAAGCTGGTATTTCAGTAAATATTCAACCAATCGTCAGGCAGTGTTGGCTTGTTAAAACAGTCAGATATTTATAATTGGAGATGTAAGAAAACATGTTGATTTTTTTCATTGATAACAACAAGATCTTGCGATAACACTGGGTGTGCCCTGGAAGCGTCTGACCTGAGTCTTTCAATTATTTTCAGTCCTAAAAGGCACAAATATAAATGAAAGACTCAGGTCAGAGGCTTCCAGGACCCCCCCAGTGTTATCACCAGATCTTGTTTATTTATGTGGAATTATCCTGAAAACAAATGACTCAGTATTTGAGGTAAACAACACTTTGTGGATGTGGTAGGATGGCAGCAACTGTGTAATCCTGTAAGTTTCTTCCATCATCTTTATATTTTAGTTTTGAAATATTTTGTCAGCCTTAATGCTAAATCTGCAGATTTGCTGCTTCTCCTCTTCATGTTTCTGTGACAGATGATCCAAACCAACTTCTCTGTCCTGAGGAGCTGGATGCACACAAATCTTGTTTCATTTATCCATGCACATCAGCGGCCAGGGCTTGATACTGTGTTGTGTTACAGTGCGCTGCTTTTGCTGAGGGATTATGACCCGTCTCTTCTGCAGTGGGCTCTGTATTACCCTGAAGCCTGGCAGACCTGTCCCAAGAAGCTGCTCTAGTACACCTTTGTCTGTGTCCGCTGTAGATTTACTCATTTACCACCCCCACAGGTCACACCCCTGCTGCATGCTGTGGGTCCTGATGCTGGGAGGGATCAATACCAGCTTCTCTGCCTTTCTGCTGAGGGTCAGAAAATAAGACACACGCCCTCCCGCGCGCGCGCA